TCTATCTGTAGTCTTCTACATGCCAGCATCATTATGCCAGCACCATTTGTTGAAGATGCTTTCTTTTTTCCATTGTAATTATTGCTTCTTTTTAAAAAATCAGTTGTTCATAGGTATGTGGGTCAATATCACAGTTTTCAATTCTATTCCATTGGTCTACCTGTCTATTTCTGTGTCAATATGAAGCCATTTTCAGGACTGTAGCTCTATAATACAGCTTGATGTCGGGGATGGTGATGCCTCCAGACATTCCTTTATTGTACAGGGTTGGTTTGGCTATCCTGGGTCTTTTGTTTTTCTATATAAAGTGAGAATTGTTCTTTCAAGGTCTGTGAAGAATTGTACTGGGATTTTGATGGGGATTGCATTGAATCTGTAGATTGCTTTTGGCAAGATTGCCATTTTTACTATGTTGATCCTACCTATCCAAGAGCATGGGAGATCTTGCAATTTTCTGGTATAGAAAGTATATTCTTTTCTGTTTAGATTGAATGTTCTATAGATGTCTGTTAAACCTCATTAGGTCATAACTTCTATTAGTTCCTTTCTTTGTGAAGTTTCTGTCTGGTGGTACTGTCTAGTGGTGAGAGTAGGGTGTTGAAGTCTCCCACTATAAGTGTGTGAGGTTTTATTGTGATTTGAGTTTTAGGAATGTTTCTTTTACAAATGTGGGTGCCTTTGTATTTGGGGCATAAATGTTCAGAATGATGGATTTCTCCTCTGATGAGTTAGATATTAGGATTGCTACCCCTGCTTGTTTCTTGGGTCCATTTGATTAGAAAATCTTTTCCCAACCCTTGACTCTTAGGTACCGTCTATCTTTGAAATTGAGGTGTGTTTCCTGTATGCAGCAAGAGGGTGGATTCTGTCTTCATATCCATTCTGCTAGCTTGTGTCTTTTTATAGGGGAGTTAAGACCATTAATTAATGAGGGATATTAATGACCACTGACTGTTCATTCCTGTTTGTTTTGGATTAGTTGTTGGTGTGATTGTGTGTGGATTTCCACCCTTTTATCTTTTGGCTGTTGGTAAGATAAATCTATTTTTTATGTTTTTCTGGTTGTAGTTAACTTCCTTGGGTTGGAGTTTTACTTCCAGAACTTTCTGTAGGGCTGGATTTGTGGATACATATTGTTTAAATCTGGTTTTGTCATAGAATATCTTGTTTTCTCCATCTATAGTGATAGAAAGAATTGCTGGGTATAATAGTCTGGGCTGGCATCCATGTTCTCTTAGTATTGGTATAATATCTATCCAGGACCCTGTGGCTTTCAGAGTTTCCATGGAAAAGTCAGGTGTAATTCTGATAGGTTTGCTTTTATATGTTACTTGACCTTTTTACTTAGCTGCTCTTAATATTCTTTCTTTATTATGTATGTTTCGGGTTTTGATTATTATGTGATGCGGGGACTTTTTGTGGTCCACTCTATTTGGTGCTCTGTAGGCTTCTTATACTTTCATTGGCATGTCTTTCTTTAAAGTTTTCTTCTATGATTTTGTTGAATATGTTTTCTGCACCTTTGAGGTGGGTTTCTTCACCTTCTTCTATACCTATTATTCTTAGGTTTAGTCTTTCATGGTGTCCCATATTTTCTGGATATTTTGTGTTAGGGATTTGTTGGACTTAGGATTTTCTTTGGCCTATGATATTTCTTCTAGTGTATCTTCAACGCATGAGATTCTGTCTTCCATCTCTTGTATTCTGTTGGTTAAGCTTGCATCTGTAGTTCCTGATTTACCAGGTTTTCTATTTCCAGCATTCCCTCAGTTTGTGTATTCTTTTATTGTCTCTATTTCACTTTTCAGGTCTTGAACTGTTTGAATTGTTTCCTTTATCTGTTTGATTGTTTTTTCTTGGCTTTCCATGCTTTCTTTAAGGGGTTTGTTGATTTTTTTTGTATTTTTTGGTTTGTTTTTTCTTCCAGTTCTTTAAGCGATTTTCTCACATCGTCTTTGAGGGCCTCTATCATTTTCATGAAGTTGTTTTTAAGCTCATTCTCTTCCGGTTCATCTGCCTTGGGATGTTCAGGTCTTGCTGGGGTGTCTGGTGGTGTCATATTTTTTGTTGTTTTTTGTTGTTGTTGTTGAATGCGTTTTTATATTGTCTTCTTCCCATCCCTTCTTTTGTTGGGTGTAGAAGGAATCTCTTCCTCTCCTGGTGGGTACGGGATTCAGGTTTCCTTCTGGTGGGTGCAAAAAGGTCCAATACTCTGATGGCTCTCCTCTTCCCTCAGATGGAGGCGGGACTGGTACTGGGGCCTTGGATGGGATCTGCAGTGTGCAGTTCTCAGGCCTCAGGTGTCTCCGAGTAGGGCAGAGGAAGACAGGCTGGAAAAAGGCCCAAGCCTACCTAGTCCCTTGGCCTTGGTCCAGTTCACACAGGGAGTATAGCAAGATGCACAGACAGGTACTGAGGAAGTTTTCCCAGACCATAACATTGCGATTTCAGACATACAACATTAGTTCATGGGGCCATGGTTATGAAATTATACTCTGTGTATGTTCTACCATTTTACCTGGGTTTGGTAGGAATACCACCCAGGAAGACCCTCAGGAGGTGAGAATAACAGTTGTGGATGGAATTTCAGGTCCTCACTTGAGCACTTCCACAATAGACTCTTGAGTGGAAAGACAAGGAATTCAATGAAGCTTTAGGCTCACAGAGGAAGGTTTCTTACCAGGTTCAACAAATGGCCAGAAGCTTAATTTTGCATTTCATTCAACATGTTATATTTTTGGAATCTGACATAAGAAAAACAGACTTTTCAAGTGGCATATAGCTGTTTCTATCTTGCATGTACCACTTGCTATCTTTGACTGAGGTGATGCTATAACCTCATGTCTGCTCTGACACTAAGCCTGTTCACACATCAGCCATAAATCAGGGCTTTCCAGACATTCAGATTCAGGTACTCTGTCTTTCCTGACAGATGTTTCTCCATCACCCTTGCTCCACAAAAATAGAAGAAGAGCACATCCCTAGTCAACACTTCCTTTTACATCATGGGCAGTGACTGGTGCTGAGCTCACAGCACAGCCTACTTGTTCTCAGTCTTGAGCTTCACCACCAAAATATGCAAGGGTATTTCTAGATTGTTCATGTGGTTCACTGTTCTGAAGAAATCACACACACACACATACACACCTGGAAAGATTAGATCTGAAGAGAGAAACTCCATGAAATTTTATTAGTACCATTATTGTTTTCTTTGGCTTTATGTATTATATAGGTAAAATTAAAAAAGGAAAATGATTGTAAAAGGCAAATATTTTGTACAAAAATATGTTTTAAAAGCTCTTTAAGTATATATTTCATACTGTTACTAAAAAGTGGCCTATATATCTGTATGCCTGCATATTTTTCCCACAGTTGGGATTTTAGAAATGCACCGTAACTCAACAACCAATAATAGTCTTTTTCTGGTTGGAGCATCCACATTCAGGAAGGTATAATTTTCATAAAATGTATAGTTAATGGCTGAGAAAAATCTATGTGATTCAGTCCATTTGCACACTGGAAATCAATACATGAACTTTGGGGAGCACTTTAACTCCCTAGTCCTTGTGTTATGGTGCAGTAGTATGTCCATTTGTTTTCAATAACTGCTGATTGGTGCTTTCCTCACCCAATCTGGTGAGAAAGTAATGGAGTTAGAAAGGAGTGTCCGGCCTCTCAGAGGCGTCTGAAAACACGTTCCTGCTGTTAGAACACACTGTGTTATAATGTGGGTGCTGGCACTAGAAGAGAAAATAAGGATAAGCATTAGTTTTGCTTGAGGAATATTTTTTTTATAACTTAAAACAGGAGGAATCTTTAAAAAAGAGTATTAAAGACATCATTTAAAGAATGCTGGGAAGTTTTTCTTCAGATTAAGTAAAAGTTACATTTCATTTTAAGGGCCAATTCTAGGGAATCCTGCTCCCTACTCAACTCCTTCATGAGCCAACAAGGCAAGCATATGATACTTGGTTGTTATAATCAACTGTAATCCCATGTTTAGTGATCTATGCTTTTGCCCTCAGCTAACCAGACTGTGTGCTCCTTATTGTATTGAGATCCTTAGCATTCACATTCCTATTTGACACATCAAATGTCCTCAGCAACTGCCTTCAATGTGTACATGAGTAATTTGTTTTCCAGTACTTCCAAAAATAATGTGAGCAAAGTACAGTTAGGTTTTTTTGAACTACTAATTTACAAACCATTCTGATTACCTCTGAAAATTTTTCCTTCAGTGCATCTTAGTATATTTCTTTTTAATTATAATTTTATTTATATAAAGAGCATGAGTGTTTTGCCAGCATATATGTCTGTGCACCACAGGCCTGGTTCCTGCTGAAGCCAGAAGAGGGTGTCAGATCCACTGCAACTGGAGTTACAGGTGGTTATGAGCCTCCATGTGTGTGTGTGTGTGGCACTCAAACTAGCTTCCTATGCAAGAGCAGCCAGTGCTTTTAACTGCTGAGTCATCTCTACAGTCCCTTAGTATATTTCCAAAGTTGTTGAATAGGTCTAAAGATTGCCATCATCTCCAAAAGAAACCCCACACTCTCAGCATTCCTCCCCATGCCTTCCATCTGCCACCACAAACTTAGTTAAAAGGAAGATACCCTATTCTAAAGAGGGCCATGTAGTAAATGAAGCTTTAGATAAACCCAAAAGAATCTTTATAGAATTCTTTGACACAAGCATGTTTAAGATATACAGAGTGTAACCTTCAACTATACTAGCACAAAACTTGGCCTATACTAAATGCTCAGTTAAGTACACGAGGATTGACTGTTAGGCTGGATTGGAAGTATACAGCTAGCTATCCACATGCTCCCAAAACATCACAGTAGAGCCATATGTTAAGAAGAGTTAATTGACAATATCATAAACAGTGTTTTCTCACTTAGACTGATAACCTAACCTGCTGATAAGCAGAAGTGGGTTGGAAACTCAGACCTGAGAGCCTACATTCGAGCCCTTCTTGCCACCTCACCCCTTTAACAAGATCAGAGCCCTCCAGCTTCATTGTAAGCCTGAGGCTGCTTACCTGCCTCCCTCTCTTTCTCACAAATGAAGTTATTGATTTCATCACACTGGAAGTCATTCCACTGCCCGGCATAAATCAGTCCAGCACAGTCTTCTCCTGGCCCCTGGCTGCTGCCCCAGTTATCTGGCTGCCCAGCTTTCCAGTTCCTTTTAACAAAACAGAAAAGGAGTGTTATCTGCACAGTATACAGAGGTTTTCTTTGCTCAAGAACACAAGAGGATTGTAAAAACACAAAACCAAGGCATAGCATTTGCTGCACACTTTCATTTAGCTGTTTGCAGAGTAACATGAAAATCAGTTTGTCCTTGCAGGCTCATTATCTCTGCCATAATGAGATCAACCCAGTGAGCTTCATTAGTACATTGCATTAGACAGAGTTGGATGAATGGCTTTCAACTGTGTCCAGCAATGTGGACTTCTGGGCATGTGTCTATAGCTGTGCATGGGTAATATGCACTCTTGGGTTGTCTCACACAAATGTATATACACGTATGCTCTTGTGAGAATACACGGGGATCCATGGACATTGGCATGTCTGATGTGTATCATGTCCAAAAGTCAGAAGAGAAAGTGAGAGGCCTTGATGTACCTCACCCACAGTCACAAATGACTGGCTATGCTTCCAGCCCAGTTGCACTTGGCTGACAGCCTCAGAAAACAGTAATTTAATATTACTGAAAATAACTCAAACATTTCTCTACTTCTTTTGGGAAAGAGCTTTTATTTTTAATTTAATAGATAGATAGATAGATAGACAGACAGACAGACAGACAGATAAATAGAGAGCATATATGTGTGTTATAGTATGTGTGGAGGTCAGAAATAACTTGAGATAATCAATTCTCTCCTTCCACCATGTGAGTCCCAGAATGAAACTCAGTTAATGAGGCTTGGTGGCAGACGCCTTTACTCACTGAGCTATCTCTCTAGCACAGGAAAAGGAATTTTATTTATGTTTACTTATTTTGAGACAGTGACTAGCCCCGGGTTTCCTCCCAAATGCTGGGATTAAAGGTGTGCACTACCATGTCTGCCTAGAAGAGGATATTTATTTTATTTTATTTAAAGACAGGGTTTCTCTATGTAGTCCTGGCTATCCTAGAGCTCACTATGTAGAACAGGCTGTCCTCAAACTCAAAGAGATACCCCTGCCTCTGCCATCTAAGAGTGCCACCATGTCCAGCTAGACACTGAGGATTTTTTATTTATATAATTTGATATCTGATTCCTGAGTGTACAATGATTTGATTTTGCAGCTAATTGTAAAAACCATGTGTGTACACAACATACACCACACCCACACATATATGTCTGTGGGTCATTTGGATCAGAGGACCTGCTTAATACAGTTCTCTTGTATTTTCTTTAGCATCATATAAAGTCATATAGGCAAGAAGGAGTTACTAATTAAACAGAAATAGAACCTTTCTCAGTTGGGTTCCTCAGACCACCAGAATTCTTTATTTAGAGTTCTCAAGGATTTCCTTATGACTATAGGCAGCACAAATTCTGTGGTGTAGAGGCACCTGAGATAGCCGGCATAGGTGGGAGACAGGCCTGCAGAATGAGAACCTGGAGTCTCAAAGCATCTCTGGAAAAGCTAAAATCCCACGGAGCAACCTGTGTCAAAACCCTCAGTTTGTATGCTTGTAACAGAGAATAGAGCATGTCAGATAATCAGAATGCATATGTAATATTCTGGAATGTTAGTTTAAACAATGCCTTGGTTGCATTCACGGGTAGACTTGGAAGGAATAACTTGAGCTTTGCCATATTATAACACATATGTCACATTAACACTAATGCTTCCAAGAACCCTGGGAATCTTGGTAACACTCGTGCGTGCAGATAGATGTAGTGATTTGCAAGCAAATCACTGGGGGAAGTGGAGCACCCTGGGATGTGGGGCTTGTTTTAATTACTGCAGAGCATATTCTCTATCTTGGGAATAACTCCCTCCAACTTCACAATTTAATATTTTTTCTTCAACCACAAGATTAACCAAGACTGTGGTGATATATTATTAATGATTTAATAAAGCTTGCCTAAAGGATCAGAATGCAAAGCCAGCCACACTAGACAGCCATAGAAGATGGGCAGTGGTGGCACACACCTTAAATCCCAGTATTCAGGAAACAGAGCAGATGGATGTCTGCATGTTCAAGGCACTCAGGGCTACAAGAGAGTGAATTAGTCTAAAGGATTAACATAGTTCACACCTTTAATCCCGGCACTAGAGAGGTAAACAAGGAAGAAGCAAAGGGTCTCCTGGGGTAATTAGTCTCCAGCCACATTGAGGAGAGCATGGCAGTCTAGGATTCTGAGGCTTGGTGGAGAGCAGTGCAGTCTGGAGATGTAATCTAAGGTTCAGTGGTCCACCCCTTCTGTCTGAGCATTGGTAGAGGTGAGACTCTAGTGGCTGGCTCCTTTGCTTCTCTGATCTTCAGCGTGAACTCCATTATCTATGTCTGGGATTTTATTATTTGTGCTACAAAAGATTACAGACAAGAAGTGTCTGTTGGTAAGGGCCCAGCTTCCAAACAGGAAAAGGTTACTGGCAAGAAATGTCGCTTGCAGCAAGATGTTCTCCTGCTACAAGGGCCCCTATTGTGGAAGATTCCTCTCTTGTGGCCTGGGCCAGTGCCACACTGGCAGGAACATGAAGTGTTGACTAGCATGGGCTGTTGCTGAAGTAGTAGACACTGAAGAGTCCCTTATGGCTCCCACTGCTCTATGGCTTACTACTATAAAACTACAACACGGAGGTACGAAACTGGACAGGACAGCAGCCCATTTTATCTGTGTAACATAAAAATAAAAGCAATTACTTGAAAATGTTATCTTATTTCCACCAAATGGTATCTTGTGGAGACAAAAAAAGATATGAGTTTTGGGCAAACTCCGGAGGCATCTGTGAGCAGAGTGGCCGTGACAGCTTACTGTTCTAAGGTGGGCAGAGCCTCGGCTTGTTAACAGTGACCATTGGCCAAGTGATATATCTGTAATCATTCCATTAAGAATTACTATGCCCCTGGTTTCACCAATCATTTCTGTTGGTTCCTATGTTGCTGCTTTCGGATGTTTTCTACTCGTTGACTTCGACTTAGTCATGTGGGGAGCCAGAGACTCCACCCAGGGCTTTGCACACACTATGTTACTTATTTTGAGATTCATTTCTTCCTTTTCTACCCCCATCAAGTGAAAGCTTAGGTCACTGCTTTCCAATCCTTAAGGAAACATAAGGTCAAGCATGGTGGCACACACCTTTAATCCCAGGTACTTAGGAGGCAGGTAGATCTCTGTGAGTTTGGGGCCAGTCTGGTCTACATATCAAGCTCTGGAACAGACAGAGCTACATTGAGAGACACTATCTCAAAACAAAACAGCAACAAAAAGCAAGTGTTTCAGGGCTGTTGATATGTTTGTATTGTTTTAAAATATCGTTAGATTTTCTTTGTAATTTTCTCTTTGGTTTACGGACAAGATCAGGTATGGTCAGAGTGGTATGGTAATAGTCTGTCATTGGTCTATGTCATTTAATTTCCAAATACTTTATAGACCTTCTGCTATCTACTTGTTTGGGGCTACAGAACATAGTCTCTACAATCCCAGTTCTCCTGAATTTATTGAGATTGTTTTGTGGCCCACTGTTCAGTTTATCTCTGTTCCTCCCAATGATAACATCTCTCATTCATACTCTATGCTCCAGTCACTGTAGGAAGCCGTTTTCCTGCATTATAATGGTGCCTAAAGACACCAAGATGTAAATTACTTCACAGGCGCTGGGTAATTTCCATTCCTTTGATCTCTGCCTATCCCGTGGCTCATTTTTGCCTGAGGAGCTGAAGCCATTCATAGGGTAACACGTCCCAGGCGGCTGGTCAGCCTTTATAAGGGATGGTTTTCTTGGTTTTAGTGTCTCCGCTCAGTCTCCACTCTGGTAAAATGCATTAAAGCTTGTCTGCAGAAGGATCCGAGTGTCCCGTGTATGATTTCTTGCTGGCGAGAAATACAGAGAGCGCGCGGGACATATGGTGCCGAAACCCGGGAACATGTGAACATCTCTGGCACCTCGGAGACCCCTCTAACGAGGCGGATTCAGAACTGCAGGGTGGTAAATTCGGAGAGGTATGATTTTT